ATATATATATTTATTTATTTATTTATTTTATTTATATAGAAGAATGAAAGGGGAGGACGATCAGGGCAAATTCGTAAATAAACAAAATTTACAGCTTAATAGCAATTGTACTTCGTGCATAGGAAGTACTGAAATTCCAGAAAAACCACCCAAACTTCTATAAAGGCAGGGCCCATTATTGGCTTCAAAGTTATCACAGTAATTTTCTTACATTTTTTTAATATACTAATAAGTTGATAACATTAAAAAATTAAAATACTTTTTTTTCTTTTTTCTTAATGTAGTGTAACATTCAATCTACTGAATTGTTGTATTTTGTTATCCCTTCTTAGATTCACAAAAAATTTATATTCATCATAGTTATGAAAAACAAATAATTTCATATAAAAGGTTATTATTATATATCTAAATATACACACTACACACAACATTCTACATTAGCCAAAACATAAATTGTTAATTATTACGATTCACAATATTATTTATGTCATTATAGGATACAAATAAAATTTGGAGAGTTGATTAATTTTTAATTGTTTCAAATATTAAAAGTTGTTAATTATTGTATTATATATGTTTTGAATTTTTAAATTTGTTAATTATTATAACTTACATTATTATTTACTCCATTTGCAAATAATGTATGTTACTTCATTTATCTTATTTATGTGGCACTGATTGAAATTTTACTTACAAATACAAATATATTCATTAAAATTTCATTAGTTAATTAATTGTTCAGTGTAATTTTTATTTCGTATAGAATTAATTGAAACTAATTAAATACATCAAAATAATGGGATTAATGGACAGTGCCTTAGTTTTAAAAATCAATATTCATTCTATACACTATTTTATTTACCCTAGAATAATATAAGAAATTTTCAAAAGTAGAATCCAAAACTAAAAAGGTTCACATTTCCTTTTCACATTTAAACGCCAAATCATTTTTATTTTTTTGGCATTTCTCCGAAATGTTAAATAAATAATTCAAATTATAATTTCATTGAAATTCAATCAAATTTATTTTATATTATAAAAGTATCTTAAAGTGTTAATTATTGTGATTTATAGTATTTTTATATCATTTCAAATAATATTTGTTATTTTGCATGGCTTCGTTTAATGTGTCATTAATAAAATTTTGAGAGTCAACCTAATTTTTTATATGTCATGTAACTATTATAAATTTCTAATTATTATAATTCATATTTTACATAATTTATAAATATATAAAGTTTTTTTAAAAAAAATAAGAAAAATTAATTAAGACGAAGAAAATATAATTTTGATATGAATTTAGATAAGAAAAATATTAACGCTATATATCATTCTACCTGAGAAACAGAATATAAAGAAAATAGTGTGTTATATTAATTACTAATCATTTTTCTATTATTATTTAAGATATATTCCACGTTGAGCTTCATGTAATAATGAGATGCACTTCTTAATTTTAATTTTTACTTGTGAAAAAATAAATTAAAGTAAAGATATGTAAGAAAATTACATATAACAATTTAAAATAAAAAAAAAAATTTAAAATCTTTAAATTTATATCAGTATGCAATAGTAAAAAGAAAACTTAAATTTTAAATCATGAGTATTACCAAGCTTAAAATTTGTTTTTGAATTAATCTACATTATTATATTACTTTATTTACGCAAAAAGTTTGATTGGGAAAAGAATGTTGATCAAATTTGATTTAATATTTTTGTTAAAAAATTTATTATTTAAAAATAATAAAAAATAAAAGTAAACATTAAAATTTTCTCTATGAAAAATTAATATTAAATTTGTAAGTAATTATATTGGGCCCGTATACGGGCCTTCGATTATCTAGTATATATTACATACGCTTTGCATTAGTTCTAAGCTAGTATTAACTTATTGTATATATATTATTTTTTCTAAAAAAAACAATTATTTTTATACATACACATTAATTTAGGTAAAGTGACCCACCTTATTTAACAATTCATGGATGGCTAATGATTTTTCGTTTTGCTAGAAGGGATGGAATTTCTATCAATTGATCTAAAAAAGAAGAAATTAAAAGTTATAGGAAAATTGAAGAAAATATTATTAGTAGGACAAGCAAAAGAGCTAGAAAAAAAAGGGGGATGAAAGTGTAATAAAAAAGATAATTGGGGCAAAAAAGATCATAATGAAAAAGTTGATGAACTTCTAAAGCTTTACAAAAACTATAATCCTTATAGGATTTACAGTATAGAGCAGAATCCAAATGCTTGCATTATTTTTGTTAAAAATGATTTAATTTATACATATGCATTTGTATATATGCGAGCGAGATTGGGAGAGAGAAGAGAGATATGAGCCAGACTGGGAGAGGGAATAGAGAGACAAGCGAGATTGGGAGAGGGAGGAGAGAGGCGAGCGAGAGAGGACAGAGAGTTGAAGATAGGTGAATTGTATATGTATATCGGTTAGATAATTATATATTATACATATGCATTTGTATATATTGCAAGTGAGATTGGGAGAGGGAGGAGAAAAGCGAGTGAGATTGAGAGAGGCGAGTGAGAGAGGACAATGATTTGTATAATTTGCATCTCATTTGTATGATTTGCGGCTACTTTTGTATAATTCACGTGTTTTTTACATAATTGAGTAATATAAATCTAAAATTGTGCAAATATCATAAAACTTGAAATAATGAATTGATACACACGTAAACAACTTTAAACAATTGGCTGCTTATTATTCACTTTAGTAATTTTACTTATTATCATGGGACAATTACTTATAAAATAGTAATTATTTTTAAGGTGACCATCTCTTTTTTTTTTTTTACGTCACACGGTATAAAAATTAAAACTCAATAAGAATTTTTTTTATATATAATAGCAAACTAATAATTTAAAATAAATGGAGTAGCTAGGGTTTGATTTAATTGTACTCCATAGTAAACGTTTGCAAAAATTGCCAGGTGCTTCTCTCCCAAATATCTCGTTCGCCACTCTCCTCCAATCTCTCGCTCCCTTCCTCATTTTTTATACAAACACAAGTGTATAAAAATTGTTTCTAATTTATAAAGCAGAGAAAATTGTATAAATACATCTATTTTTATTCCCCTCTCTCCCCTCTTCCAGATCTCGCCCGCCACCTCGCCTTTCTCACTTATATAAACAGAAGCGAAATGTATAAATTGTGTTTCTGTTTGTATAAAGTGTGAGAAAATTATATATATACATGCAAGTACATATATTTTCGTCCTATACACTTATAATTATACAATAAAAATACTCCTCTGCCCAGTTTCTTTTGCCTTTCTCTCTTTCTCGTTTTATACCATTTTCAAATTGTATCTGATTTCTCTCTTTCTCGTTTTATACAATTTGATTCAATTGTATATTCCTTGTCAAGTCTCTTTTGTCTTTCTCTCTTTCTCATTTTATACAAATTCAAATTGTATATAATCATTCTATACACTTATAATAATACAATTCGTTTTATACACTTCATTTTATACAATTTGCTTCAACTGTATATGTATAGCGAATTATACAGTTTCTATGTTTGCTATGGATCGTAATTATGCAAACTTTGCTATAGCATACAAATATGAATTTTTTATTTGCTATATGTGAAAGTTGCCCTTATATTTGTACCACTTTTTATTTAAAGTCCTTGACTTAGATTTTAATTTTCTACTTTTATTTCTGGCTATCTCATAATATCTTGGTTATTCTGCAACGTAAAATTGTTTGCTTTTGAGCAAGATGCAACTTGCGAACTCATTGACATGATTCATTCAATTTGTCAACCTTATTTCTAAGTGATTTTTTTATTAATTTATTTTTGTGTTAAATCTTAATTGTTAAACTGATATCGATCAATAAAAAATCTATAACTAAAATCAAATCTTAACTGTTAAACCGATAACTCGTATCCCAATATGACCAGGATTTACAAAACTTTGTGGAATAATTAAGCATAGTTAAATTTGTAAATAAAAAGCATAATTATCCATTAAGGAAGAGATTTCCATCGATATCCTTCAGAGATACTATATTGTCTAATTCTGGAATTAATCTTTTGAACAAATTTCTCACATATTTGATCGATGAATTCAGCTTATTGAGGATATGATGTAAAAATACGAGGGTGTACTGGATAATTAGACATGAATTATGATAGTAGGTCAATAGGTGATAGTAATATACGTTGTATTGTTGTTAGTTCTTCGATTTCTATTATTATTTGTTGGTTATCGGATGTTCCTTGATTATTTTATTATATTATTTTATTGTAGTTTATTTTCTGTTGCTATCTCTTTTATTATTTATCTGTTAAATTTTCCCCTCAAAATTAGAAAAAAAAAAAATTCCTCATAAATATATGAAAAAATTGATAGGTATATATCTGAGTCCCAAGCCTAAAGGGTAAAAAATATTGACAAAAATTTCAAAAGAGTAAATGAAAAAACTTTTAAACCAAAACGGTAAAATCGCTGGTGATGTAGTGATTTAGGTGGTGCCGTTACGGTAAATTGTTGAAGTAGCAGCGATTTGTAAAACTTTCTTTTTTAACAAATCGTCGCTGCCAAGGCAGCGATTTGGTAAATGATTTTTAAAAAAATTATAAATCGCTGCCTGTGCAGCGATTTTTCTTAAAGAATTTTTTTAAATTTTTTTTTGAAGTAAATCGCTGCATTGGCATCGATTTTACTTTATTTATTATTTTTTTAAACTTTTTTGAAGGAAATCGCTACCCAGGCAGCGATACAATTTTTTTTAAAAAAAATCATTTACAAATCGCTGCCTAATAAATCTTTTTTTTTAAAAAAAAAAAATAACAAATCGCTACAAATTGATAGGTATATATCCTCTGCATTTGCCTCTTGAACTCAAATTACAAATTGAGTTTCCTCAACTTACAAAAAGCTATACAGGAAAAAAAATATATATAACACAAGAAAAAAAGAATTTCACATTTCACAATATAATAAAATCCCATAACTTGATTTTTTTTTTTTGCAACCATAGTATATTATAGGCAAAAAAAAAAAACTTTTAATAAAAGAATACAAAGAATCACTATATATAAACTTCCATTCTATGTTATGTTATGTAAACTTACAATCAGGTACTCAGTGAAATAGTCGACATGTCCATAATTGAACGATGTGTGTAGAAGCTGATCAGAACACCACATACGTACGATTAATTCCTTGCTTGGACCATAGGAGAAGACATAGGTGAATGAGGAGAGTTCATAAAATCATCCAATCTCCTAAATGACAAACTAATTTCAAGTTTGCTCCTTGTTCTACAGTATTGTTTCTTTGTTGCAACTTCAACTCCCTTATTTGGTTGTAAATAGACAAAATGTCTAATTCTTCTCAATGCAATCTTCATTGTAGCATCATCCATATTAGCAAAACAAACCCTAAACCAACCTGGCTCTGAGCAATGAAATGAACAACCAGGTGAAACATTAAGCTTCACTTTATCAATAATTATATGCCAAAGTTTCAATTCATCATCAAATGTTGAATTCTCAAGAAACCTTCTTAAATCCATCCAAATAAACAAACCAGCATTACTCTTCAATGTTGTAATTCCAACTTGACCTAATCCTTTAGTAAACAAACCATATCTTTGTAACAATCTCATCGAGCTCTTCGCGATGAAATCTTCAACAAAGATAGTGTCTAATAACATTGAAGCAATCAATCTTTGTGTTTGTGTTGAAACAAGTCCAAAACTTGACATCTTACGTGCAATATTGACAACGGCATCATTGTACGAGTAAATAATCCCAACCCTAAATCCAGGAAACCCTAGATCTTTCGATAGACTATACACAATGTGTACTAAATCATCGTTGCATCCAACAACTTCACTCTTGACTTCTGAGATACTGATGAATGAAGGTTGACTAAACGCGGTTGCTGCATAGATTTCATCACATACTAGATGTATGTTTTTGTCATTGATGAATCTTAATATGTCTTTTAATGTTTCCTTGTCCAAAATTGTACCTAATGGATTTGATGGATTGTTTATAAGTAATCCTTTTACTTTGATATTTGATTCTTGAGCTTTACTATATGCTTCTTCTAAGGCTTCTTTTGTTACCTTGAAATTGTTAGAACTCTCACAAACAACAGGAAAAAGTTGTACTCCTGTTCTCCATCTCAAATCTCTATCAAATCTGCAATACAACGCAATAATTAGCTATGAACTTTATCGTTAAATAGTACTCGATTTGTTATTAAATAAGATTAACAGTTGATTTTTATTGTTTAGCGACAGAAATTGGACGTTACTTGTAGTATCTCACCTGCAATATATTCATAGTATAAAAATTATATATTTGTTAAAAATCAATATTCTAACTTGACTATTCATTGATTTTGACTTTGAAAAATTTAATGAATAAGTCAACTTTCTCTAGATAATCTTGAGTTTTTTTAATCTTGTTTTTTTTTTTATGTCACCTTTGATTATTATGGCTGCTATTGGGGACAAATAATAATTAATTCAATATGGTCCAATCTAATAAAAAGTTGGTATAATATGTTATGTCATTTATGGCCACAAACTTATTGAGGTTATCACTACTTTTTGTCATTTTTATTGCAAGTAGTTGTATATATATGTCCCACACCAATAATTAAAATAATTTAAATAGTAACAATATAGAAAACTAAAGTTTAATTTAAAAAAAAAAATCTTTATCATCATAAATTATTATCTTTTAACTAGGGTTACATAGTTATCTTTTGCGTAATCCGATCGTATAGTAATATAGTTTAACTTGTTATAGCAGATGATACATGTTGTTTGTGTCATTTTATGAGGTTATTTTCAAGAATTAATTAGGCCTCTATTTCCACAACCATTCCTTTGGTCAATTCTTCATATCACAACATGTTACATATGTATATTACTCTCCAAAAACATGTATGTTAAAAGGTTTAGTCGTACGCTAATATATGTTGGGTTTTATTTGTCCAAAATTTCTTACCGTAAATAGATTTTTTTTTTTAGGAAAAGGTTTGCTTTGCTAGCTTCCGCATTTACACCTGCTTATTTCGGTCCTAACAAGTGTTATCACTTGTGTGAACATCCAATGTATTGTGAGTGAATTGGTTGAAGTTGTTTCTCTCTATATTTTGTATTTCATATTTATAGTAGATTGCTCATCTCCTTTGTGGACGTAGGTCGATTGACCGAACCACGTTAGATCTTTGTGTCTTTTGGTATATTTCTCGTTTGTCTTCTTACTCGTGGTTGTTCAAGGTTTGCTTTGCTAGCTTCCGCATTTACACCTGCTTATTTTCGATCCTAACAATATAAATATCAAATATCGAATAAAATAGAAAAAATTGTTACATAATGAGTAATAATACAAGAAAGGAATTAATATTATAATATGTATAGTTTAGCATAATCTCATCAGTGGAGTTTGGAGAGGATAAAATGTATATATGTTGCTAATCTTATTTTAGCTACTGACTATTTAACGACGGATTCAATTTATTTTGTCGTATTAATGTTATTTGTCTATCAATATTTTTATCTTTCATATAATTACCGATACACATAATCATATTTAATATTTTATTTCACATGAAATAATGTATAAATTCTCGTATAACTTAATGTTAATATCATTTAATATCGTCAATCAAACATTATATTAATTATTGATGAGATTTCCAAAGACCATATGGTAATACAAAAAAAAAAACTAGGATTGACACTAGTGGAACTTATAATACTTTGTTCAATTTCTAAGATTAGACAGAATAAAAAAATTTGACTAAGAAAAATGATATGACCATATAGCTTAGTAATTAATTAATATGATAAGCAATTAGTTAATTAATTAGCAGCCAAGGAGAAATAGATGAGAAAGTACTAATGATGTATCTGATTATCAAACAAATTAACTGAGTCTTCTTTAAATTGTTAATCAATTAATTGTATGCATATTGTAACTAAGTTGGAAATAAATTAATCCTCACCATAACAATTTGAATATTCTTTTTTGTAATTATAGCAAAATGATTTTATCTAGAATAATATAACATAACGTAACATGAAAAATCAATGTTAAAAAGTTTGATCATTATGATAAAATATCATTTTCTAGGGTCACAGAGGACGGATCACAGAGGTTGTTTCCGATAAATCCTCGGAGGGAAACATTTATCAATACTCATCTAACAACATTTTATCTAGTGTACATCTCATTTGCTATATGACTACTTGACAAACAAGCTCTTCATAGTTTTACAACAACATGTATCTGCATCATTACAGTCATATTTACAGAAATATGCAGAAAAACCAGAAGATTTTAACCTATTTAGAAGAGTTAGTTAATCTTCTAAAACCAAGTTGTGTATCGTCCTGTTTGCAACCGCATTACCTCATCTTCTTCCCGCCCAGGGGTAGCACCGAAAAGAAAAGCATCTCAGTTGGATACCTTAAGATGCTTCGATCCATGCTCGGGTGCCAGATTTTCAGCCGCAGCTCGCTTTGGTCTCAACTGCAACACAGAAAAGCATTTTAACCGTAAAGGGATAGCAACAACGCCTCAATCCTCAATTGATTATGTGTGAGTTTGCTCATATTGTCGGTCACAAGACTGGATAAAGGAGAAGAATTGCAATAGGTTGATAGCCATTGTAAAACTAGTCACTTTAAGATGAATCCTCACAATATAACACAATTACAAATTGCCAAATATTCATCGAAAGAAGGAATAAATGTCGATCAAAACGAACACTGACCTTCTCTTCGGCACGCTGCTCTAGGTGTCTCAGAAGTATACTTTTGGCTTCTGAACTAATTACTGGAAATTCAGATGCAGGTCATTAGTATATGTTGAATCAGAAATAGCATAGCTTAAGTGCAAAAGCTTTAAGCACATGCAATTCATATCCAATATATTTCTCCTCTTATCTGATTAATTGAGATTCAATTAAAAGAAAAGATTGACGATGAAGCATGAGATAGTAAACTGACAAACAAACTTGCGCATTCCATTAGATTTTGATGATTAGGTCTGGGGAGGGTGGTGTATACGCAACCTTACCATACCTTGTGAAGGTAGAGTGGCTGTTTCCAATAGACTCTTGGCTCACGAATATGTGCATATCCTCATAAAAGTTTTTTAACCAATAACATGAATGTACTTTAGATGGCTATGATACTATATTTACCAATTGTTTAACCTAAGAGAAATCCCTTTTTTTCCTTTTCGGTAACAGGATCTTACATATAGTTACTAGCCATGTCTAAATAAAAAAAGATGATGCATCTTAAAGCTATTGAAAAGTAGTTTATCCTAGTGCATGTGAAATCAATCTTAGTTGAGTATAGAAATGTGGTAACGCGGCAAGATAATTATAATATCATCCGATAGAACTAAACCAAGATTTCTAAAAGGGAATGGAGATGAACATGAGAACTGTAACTTGTAAACACACACATTTACAGGAGTTGTAAATTAAATATAGCCATATGAGGAAAGGTAATAGCTGCATTATTTTCTTGAAAGGCATATTCTTTCTTATTGAATCTTAAGGGCCCTACCCTACCCAATTCTTGAACCCTCTGCCGAGCTCTACCCTGCCTGCATTGTTTGGAATCTTTTATGTAATAAAAAAAGCTTATGCACCTAGCTTGCTGGAAGCTAAGAGTTTTATCGCCCAAAAAGGGGAATGGGGGCTTTAGTAGTGCCTTACTTAATACACTAAACTATTTATAGTGAACCAATCCTTTCACCTGACTAACATAGAAAAAACACCAGGCAGGCCTCACTCTTTGTTTCGATGAAAGCCTCAACACAGACATACTCGGAGAACTTCTTAGACTATTTTACCTTCACCAAAACCAGAAGCAGAGGGAGAAGGTCCAAAACTAGTAATTAGGGGTGCTTGAAATCCAAAACTAGTAATTAGGGGTGCTTGATTCTGCTACCCATATACAACTCATTGCCAATTGACATTCTTATTGATCCATGCCCAATGCTTTTGCGACACAAAATGATATGAGGTTGAAACAACTTTTAAAGTGAATAAACTGAAGTTCAAATCCTCAAGAGATGACTGGCTTAATTCTAAAGACCAACTCATAAGAATAACCAATAACAGCAGCTGAGCTAAAGTTATTCCATTCACCATTCACTTAGGGAGGAAGGGTAGGATTCTAGTCAAATATATACAACAATAACATGCCCAAATATAAAGTATTGTTGGACAATAACATCCAACAATACTTTATACGTATCACTCTGACACATTGTTGGATGTTTAAGCGTTGAGCAGTTGTAATTAATCATGATTAAAATGGATCAATATCACCTTGATTTAGTTATTTAAGACTTTAGAGATCCAATATTAAATCCCTTGCCTTAATGAATAATTAGTCTTGTGTCTCTTTGAATAAAGATTTTAATTTTGAAAAGTAGATTAGGTAAATCTTGTCCAAATAATGTCCAATCACTATCTTTATTATTTCAACCATTTTTATTTATTAACCAAAAAATATAGGAGTATTGTTTTCTATTATTGGTATTATTATTTTTATCCATATTAAACAAGTGAGGTTTGAGGAGGGTAGTGTGTATAGAGACCTTACCCCTACCTTGGAAGGTAGAGAGGTATTTCTGACAAAACCTCGGCTCAAGGATTCTAGTCAAATCTATATAATCCGAAAACCTGATAAAGGTAGAGGGTAAGAGCAACCAATAGATAAATGTAAATTATGATATCAAAGACGTCTAAGGAACAAAAAAAAAAATCATTTTCTTGATTTACCTTGATTTGGTGGAGGAAGAGTCCTGTCATGAGTAGGGCGATAAGTCACCGGTGTCATTCTCTATAAATAGAAAGAACACAGAATTGGATAAGTGGATAAATAAAATAACTAGTATCCTCAAAACTGGACAAAAATCAGCTACTGAAAGCGAAAGTACAAAAGTTCAACAAATAACTTCATCATGTAACACTTATGTAACTCTAATAATTCTTAAAGAGATTTTGAGGTGCATATGCAGGTTTCAAATGTTAATTCACTTTACTTATCATGCCATTCAAAGCAATTATGCAACACGAGGACTTCCTGGGGGTCAATCATTATGGTGCTACTCTTGCCCAGGCATGACTTCCAGAGAAGAGAGTCCCAGAAGCCGATTA